GCCCCGGGCATTGGCCACTGTTGGTAGACAGGATACTGGGCTAGATGGACCTTTGGTCTGACCCGGTACCGCCTTGCCTATGTTCTGGGGGGGGGGGTGACCAGGGACAGTCCTGATTTTGGGGTCTTTTTCATATATAGGCTCCTATTACCTCCCCACCCCCTGTCCTGATTTTTCACACTTGCTCTCTGGTCACCCTAGGGGAGGGGTTGGGTCTTAACTTTACAACCCAGCGCTAACAAATTGCAATGCGGTAAGTGGTGCGTGCGCCCCGGGCTGGCCGCCAGCCCCTCCCGGCGGTGCAGTCTGGACGGATTTTGAAAGGGGGGGGGGCGATGCCCTTGCAACCAGGGGGTAAATGCAACCTTCACCCCGACACCCAGCCGAGCACCACGCCCAGCCCCAGGGCTAGGAGGGGGCCGATCCCGCTGGATACTCACTGGCTCTTCATGGAGCGGCTCTCCCTGAAGACCGGCTGCAGGGGCACGGTGGCTTGGCCCAGGAACTTGTCCAGGCCGATGAGCGCCCGGTGCATGACGGTGAGCACCAGCTCGCAGCCCCGCTGGCCGCGGGGGGAGCCCCCTCCCCAGTCCGCCGGCTCCTCCAGCTCCAGGGCCCCCGGGGGCAGCTCGAAGGCGCATTCCTCCTTCCACTCCGGGCTGCCGGAGCTCTTCTCCGCCACCGAGGTGCTGTACTTCTCCCGGCCCAGCTGGATGATGGTGTAGGCATCGCTGGTGCCCGGCTTCCCCCCGCCGCCCCCTGCCTTGGTCCGCAAGCCCCGGGCCTGCAGCACGGTCACCTGGACGTGGGTGGGCAGCCAGCGCTGCAGGGGCGGCTCCTGCTCCGCCACCCGCAGCAGGGACATGGCTCCGGGCGGGACGGGGAGACGCTCCCCCCGGGGCGCCCCTGCAGGAGGACGGCTCCGGGCAATGCAGAGCCCGGCTCTCGGGGCGAGGCTCCCTCCGGCTCCGGGCAATGCAGAGCCCGGCTCCCGGGACGCTCCTGCAAGGACGATGCGGTGCAAACTCCTCGCCGGGGAAAGAGGGAGGCTCTCTGCGGCTGCACACGCCCTGCCCCCGCGGCCGCAAAGTTACTTTCCTCCCCGGGAAAAGCGGGTGGGGGAAGGGGGAACCGAGGCGGCAGCAGCGGCCAAGCAAATCCCCGGGGCCGCCCTGCGCCTCCCGAGTCCCTCAGCGGCTCGCACAGCTGCTGCGACCGGGCCCTGGACCGGACCCGCCCCCTCCGTGTCCAGATCCCCTCCCCCTGGCCAGGCTCCTCCCGCCGGGGAGCTGCATGCATTGGCCAGGGGCCCAGCAAACCCTCCAGCCTGCAGGCCGCTCCCTCCCGCCCCGGGCCTGGGCGCGCTGCTTGCTCCAGCCCCCGAGAAGTGCAATGGAAAAGCAGCGGGGAGCCCCTTGGGTGGGGCTGGACACCAGCCGTGCCCACCCCAGGCATTCCCAAATCATGAGTCAGGCTGCAAAGAAATCACCCCCCCCCAGCCAGACAAGGGCCAGTCACTCAGGCTGTGTGGACACAGCCCAAGTCACAGGGTGGTGAGAACAGGGAGCTGGAAATCTCTCCAGGTCTGGCTGCGTGGCCAGGCTCGGACTCCGGCTGGAGCCCCAACCCCACTTCCATCCACACACAAGTCGGCCTGACTGGGGTCAGCCAGGTCCCGGATCCTAGACCCCCGCTAGGAGAATGGGTCAGAGTCCAAGTCCCGCTGTGACGTGGGTCAAAGCCCTATCATTGTGCAGTGTGAACTAGGGTTGCCAACTGTCTTCTAGCACAAACCCAAAGATCCTTGCCCCTTCCCCGAGGCCCCGCCCCCTCCATCCTCCTATCTGTGGCTTGCTTGCTCTCATTTTCAGGCTGGGGCAGGCGGTTGGGGACCAGGTGCAGGAGGAGGTGTGGGCCCTGGGTTGGGATGTGTGGCGCAAGCTATGGAGGGAGTTTGGGTGCAGGGTGTGGGCTCTGGGCTGGGGGAGGGGGTGAGAGGTGCAGGCTCTGGAAGGGAGTTTGGGTGCGGGAGGGGGTGTGGGCTCTGGGAGGGAGTTTGGGTGTAGGGTACGGGCTCTGGGCTGGGACAGGGAGTTGGGGTGCAGGAGGGGGTGTGGGCTCCGGGAGGGAGTTTGGGTGCGGGATGCAGGCTCTGGGAGGAAGTATGGAGCAGGAGGAGGTGCAGGGTGTGGGCTCGTGGGGCTGGGGTGAGGGGGTGCGAGGGCTC